GTGCTCTAAGAGACTCAATAATCTGTAGGCTTCGTGTGCTCAATGTGAATGATTTTTTTTTCATTTTAAAATAAATTACACTTCATGCCATGGACATTTTATTGTTTGCTGCTATTGAAATTGTTTTTCTAAACCCAGTTATAACCTATAAAGAAAAATGCAGAAATGGTAAGAAAAATGTTTATTGGTTTAGTTGATTCTGGCAGTTCTCTTGTAGAACACTATTGATCTACCAGCTATCACATCAGCCAGGCCTCAGGGCAGTGGGTTGAAAGTTTAGGACAGGCCTGCATTTCCTATAAGCTTATTTAAAATATAGGTTCTAGGAGCTGGGAGAACTGGTTCAGTTACCACCCATGCATAAGGATCCGAGTTCAGTCCTCCAGAGCCCACATTTAAAAGGCTGGCCGGGTGAGCACTGTAATCCCAGCGCTGACGAAGATTCCTAAGACTTACTGGCTGCCCAGCCCAACCAGGTTAGTGATCCCCAAGCCAGTGAGAACCCTTACCTCAAACAAATAAGACAAAGTGATTGAGAAAAACAGCCAACATGTTACTCACATACATTCCCACAGTACTTTACACATACTACTGAACACTCACACCAAGGACCCCTGACCCCAGCTGGAGTGACTCTGATTCTGCAGGCTTGAGATGAAGCCTGGAATTCTGCCCTTTTGCAGGGAACACAGATAATGCGAGTTTTGTTGGTGGGGCTATAACAAGCCTCAGTCCTCCGTCTTGGGAGAAATATATCACAAACCCTTCCTTTCCTACAAACTCGAGAATCCTGGAGAACACCAGCTAGGCTAGCCCACAGGAGTGACCTGAGCTTCAAGGCCCTGGTTTGGTCTTTGTCTCCAAGATGATTCTCATCTGAAACCATAATCAAGGAGATGGACAGAGCAGAGCCACCAGTATCTCCGGGCATCAAGTTAACTGCTGCTTTGCAATGACAGCTAAATGCGGATTCAAGAGCATGTAAAGAAAGCCTTGCAGATGTGTGTGCATCTGTCTACCCTTTTCCTCTTCTTAAGAGCAGGGTGGCTCACCTTTCCATAGTCGCCATAGTAATGGGCCATTTTCCCTCAGCCTTCAACTTCAGATTCAGTTTTGAGAGTGAGAATAAATGGTGTGAGATGAAGAGAGGTTGCTCAAGGTTTTTATTTAGCCCGGAAGAGTAGGCAGTCAATATTGACCTGATTGCGCAGTGGATAGCGAGACACCGAGGCCTTTGAAAGCAAAGTGCCCTCCTGAGTGGTCAGAACGGGAGTGGGGGGAGGGTGTGTGTGAACGATCCATCAACATTTTTGCTAAAACACAATTGTATTTGCTCTTAATTTGAAGCATCCTTCAGAGTAGTGTTTAGAAATTACTCCCTTAAAGACAGGGGTTATTATAGGTGATCGGTCCTAATTATTGATAAGGCACAAGGTTTTGTCATTTCCATCTAATGTATGAAGTGCATGCATTTATGCTCACAGACAGTCAATCATAAAAGAAAAGAAACATGAAATACACCTCATTCAACATCTACCTCTCAGGAGTTTCTGTTCCCGTGCATGTCACAGTATTTAATTCACTCCGAAGAGTTAACTATAAGGTAGCTGGATAAAGCCCCTTTCCCCTCCAGATTTTTCTATGACTTTGCAAACTAGTCAACAATTGAGCACAAAGACAGGCAGAGTCACACTGGAATGCTGTGACAGAACCATCAGATGACATGGGACTCAACCTCTTCTGTTTGTGCCTGAACAGTGAAGAGCAAAAGTGAACAGAATCCACATCCAAGCCGGCGTGGCCTGAGAGAGACTTGACACTCGGATAGAACATGATAATGAAACATCTAAGAACAGCTGTTTCTTTGCTCTTCTTTGCCCTCTCTGGGGTCCTGGGGATACCAGAAATCTCATGCAAAAATGGAAAAGGTCAACCTGTGGACTGGTAGGTAAACAAAGCTGGGCGATTGGTGTGTGCAAATAGAAAGCCGGGGTAGGTCTGTGAGGACGCTAAGGAAAACTTTGGATGGGTTGGCAGGGTGCTTCATGCATCCATGAAGCTCTAGGCTCCGTCCCTAGCACCACATAAACTGGGCAGGATGGCAATGTAATCTCAGTAGGAAGGTGGAGAGTTCAAGGCCATCCTTGGCAACAAAGTGAGTCCTAGCCTAGCCAGGTTTATATGAGATCTTGTCTTAAATAAATCAATAGATAAATTAATTAACTAAAAAGAAGGGGACTTAAAGTGTGCCTGTGGGCTCAGTTCCCAGGCGGAACTGGCTGCTGAGCATGTGAGTTACCCCTGAAAAGGCGGCAAGTAGCTTTCTGGAGCCTGAGTCAGTGCTGCTCCTGGCGGCTGGGGGGGAGGGGGCCGAGGGAGGGGGAGAAGGCTGGGAGGCAGAGTGGGGCTCAGCTGACAACCGTCATTGGTAATTTCTTTCATTGCATGTACCCTTCCTGAAATACCAAGCTGAGAAAACATATGGTTTGTTTTGTTTTGTTTTGTTTTTTCTAAAACTGAGGCATTCTTCTAATAGGGACAAGAAGTATTTGATGGAGCCCAGCATTGTTTGGTTTACTTTTGTTCACAAGACAGCCCAAACAGCAGGCAGGAGCATGTCGGAGGTTAATGGTCTCTGTCACAGTGTCAAGCATGAACCTTACTATGTGACTGTGGGGAGATCTGCCTTGGAACTTTGGCCATTTTTCCAGTCTCTAACTCTGCTGTTTTGGTCTGTCATGGAGGTTAACATGATTGTGTGACTCTTAAGCCAAAGAGCATCAATCAGTTCAGTCTTTCAGCATTTATGAGCTCTTACTAGGCTCTGCCCTGGGTTTTAAAGACAGAGATAAGAACAAAACATAATTCCTACCTTCAAGGATCTCAGACCTGTGGGATGGACCTGGGGCATTAGGAATCACATAGTCTGGACGGCTTCTTTGAAGAAATAACTTCAAGCTAAGTTTTAAGTATAATTATGATGTTGTTTTAAAAATAAGAGGAAGACTAGCCAGGCACGGTGGTGCATGCCTTTAGTCCCAGCACTCAGGAGGCAGAGGTAGGAACATCTCTGAGTTTGAGTCAGGTCTATAGAGTAAATTCCAAGACAACCAGGGCTACACAGAGAAACCCTGTCTTAAAAAAACCACCAAACAAAGACAATGATAATAATAATAATAATAATAATAATAATAATAATAATAATAATAATAAACATGCCATGACAGCCTGGGAAAGTAGAGGAGCAAAGACTTAGTGCAGAACTGAGAGATCAAGAGGCAGCATGGCGAGTGTGGCACTTGGAGTGATGCCTGTGCAAAGGTGCCTACAGACGAAACTGCAATGGGAGGAGCAGGCCAAGTCACGGTGGGCTTTGTGGGCTGTGCTTTGGAATTTGAACCTGATGTTGAAAAGGAACTACTGAAGGTCTTGGAGCAAGACTGAGATACAATCACCCAGGAAGAATGACCGACAGTACTGCTGTCACCTAGGGACAGTGGCAAAGTAACAGTCTTCAGGTGCTCTTTGATAGAAATTTTTCTTTGTCACAACTGAATGTGTATATTACTTAGCAACAAATGTCCAAAAAAAAAAAAAAAAACAATAAAAGCATAGCTGCTCAGCAGAAAAGTTGCTGAACTGTCACAGAGTCAGCGTGTCTCCTGCCACATGTGAGGAGCTGGCCTTGTGAATAAGAAGGCAGGACGCAGGGACAGAAGTGTAGGTGACGCTTAGGCAGGCTGTTGCATTGTGACGGTGTGTAGGGCCATGCTTGGCTCACTGAGTCTCTTGGGGGTTGATTACAGGGTTTCATGCCTTTATATGCATTTGGCTAGACCAGCAGTTTTTAAATTAGGGAGAATTACCCTTGGGCAGCTTTTGACAAGGTCTAGAGACAGCTTTGATTGTCACAACTTGGACATGCTATTGGCATCTAAAAAGTGGAGGGCCAGACACCCTATAGGACACAAGCCAGCTCAGTAGAAATTAACTTGATCAAAATGGGGCTAGAGCACAAAAAAAGCCTGGGCTGGTGAATCAAGGCAGGCTGAATGTGACACAGGCCCAACCATTTGTCCTCACTGTGAAATATTCAACAGAGATAGCAAGCATAAAACAACAGATACAGGAAGAAATGGCCTGATTCAAATACTTAATGAGCAAATCCTGAGTCCAGAGCATTCTGAGAAACTGAGCTGAAGAGTGTTGCTGAGGACCAATCCTCAAGGAAGCCCCCACCTCTTCTAAAGCCCACACACAACCCCCACACCTACCTGACTAGCCCCAAGGAGACCAGGCACTAAGCAGCATGAGGAGAGCGAGCCCAAGACTCCTCTGGTGCAGACCTAGACCTTGACCTTCTCTCTCCTGTGACCGCTGAGACTGTGGGACAACAGAGCTCTCAATACACATGAGCTTTCATTTCGGTGGCCCCAGCCACCAGGCTGGCTAATGTCATAGGACATACCATCCATACCAAGCTTGTCTTCCCCAGAAAAAGGCAAAAAGAAGAGAGAGAGAAATAGGCAGAAGCCTTGAGTATTTCCTTTCCTTAAAGGCCTCCTATAAAATACTGTGAATCGTGTATTTAAGTGTTTGACACAGAGCGACATCAGAGAAGCAGTCAATGAACGACAGCAATTCCTTACTATTTTCTTTTTTTTTTCTGTAAAAGCACTTATACTCAATATTTTTATTCAGAAAAAAAGAAAAAAAAACTGAAAGCAACAGAAAAACGTCCAGGTTACTTGCAGTATCGGTCAGCTTTCAATTCAGCTCTCCTATCCAGAAGCGTCTCATGCAAAAATCCATCTTTCTGAGCCCTTTTAAGAATTTTACTATCTTCTTTGCTCCTAACTATTTTCTGTGTTAGGTTTACCTTTTATAAGCTACCCAAAAGGTACGGCAAAGAAGACACAGAGACCGGGCTGGAGTACATGTACCTGGACTCCACAAAGACAATGTGGAGGAAGGGCTGGCACCTGATAGACAGCAACAGGAGTGCCTTGGGAATTACCTTAGAGCAGCTGTATGAAGCGTATACCTCCAAGGTAGGTTACAGTCAATCATTTGTGGAGATCATAAAAAGTATGTGAACAGTAGCTAAGCCTTCAGCTGAAAAGCATCATCTAAACATATATATGTATATATATGTAAATATATATGAATATTTTTTTACACATTACATATTAACCCCAGAAACTTGAGATAGACTCATTGTGAACTAGGCTAGGGCAGCTGAATAAATCTGACCAAGGCTTTACTAATTAAACCAAGGCTTTAATCATAATCCACACCAATGTCAAACTGTTGGTTTGCTTTGTTAAAACAAACAAACAAAAAATAAGCCCCATGACATTCAAAAGAACACATGAACCAAGCAAAGAGCATCCAATTCTGTTCACAATTCCTTTTACAAAAAGGGTGTGCCTAGCCGACATATCTAGCCAGGACGGTTTCTGTCTTTTAATCCCAGACTAACCAAGGACTGTCTCATCCCACTGCTGGGCACTCAACTCCACAAATTGACACAATGAGTTAATTATCGCAAAGGGAACCAAGAGGGGTTTGGGATATATAAGTCATTGATATAACAACCTTTGATTAAAGCAAAACAAAAATTCCTCACAGTTTGGCACCAAGTACAGCAGCAGCACTGGGCAAGATGTGACTTGATTGCTTACTGAAGTCTCCAGGCTGTCAGACCTTTGCCAAGTCACTCACCGGGGTAAGAGTGCTCTCCTGCCGCCAGGCACTACAGATCTGAGAGCACTGCGCCGTGAGTTATAGATATTTGAGTGCTGGTGACTTAAGTAAAAGTTCCTTGGAGTCCCCCTTTTAATTAATTCTTTTCAGCAGAGTAGGCAGACAGCTAAGGCTTCAGCTTCAGACCTGGCTTATACCCAAGTGGAGATGAGGCCTGCAACCTGGACTTAGGTAATGAACTGACTGAAGACCCAGGTCAGCAGGCCTGCTGCCTCAGGGTGGCCAGCCCTGCGCCACTGCAGGTTCCATCTGTTTCACAGTGACTGCTTTCCAAACAGGATGACAAGGAAGACCAGGCAGTAAATGACACACAGTTCCACTCCACAAGTGTGTTCCCTGACAGTAACTGTGGACATGTTTGAAATGACTGTGTCTATGCTCCGCTAGGTCCATGGCTGGGCTTTCTGTCTGTTTTATATTGTAGTGTTGAGCACAGAACTGCCTTAGCTCGTAGTTCCACGGCAAGCCTACCTGAACATTCAATCGGGGCTGTCACTGTGTGTGGTGACGTTCATTTTACCCATCTGCCACTAAAAGCAAACTCGAAGCAAAATTCCACAGTTAAAATGATTCCGTAGGCTGTGAATACACAGCTGATGTGCCAAGCACTGTTTTAGGTGTTTTTTTTTTTTTTTCAAGGTTGTTTAATCCCAACAACAAGCCTGTTTTGAATAACCAGACTATTATGTAAAATAAAAACTGACTGAGCGGCTTCTGCTTCCAAGGTCGTTGATGGGAACTCATTAGTGAGGAAATAAACCCCTACACTGTTCTCATCTCTGTCCCGGGGACTCCTGGAGCAGACAAGAGAAAAAGATAACATCACCAAGCCACTGTAATTCACCTCAGTTGGAGTAGCTGACCATTAGATTCTTAGGTTAACAGATACCAATAATGACCTGGGGCATTTCTTTCACCTGCTTAGCATAACAAAAACAAGCGCAAGACACCAAGGAGGACGGTTGAGGCAGGAGGATTACCATGAGTTCAAGGCCTGCTTGGGATATATGTGACTTCCAGGCTCATCTGGGTTAGACTAACATCTTACCCACCCTCAGCCTAAAACTAAGTAGGTAACTAAAGAGTGTGTGAGAAATGAAAGGGAAGTTAGGACACAGCATAATGACAATGGAAAAGCATCGGGTGTTTGAATGAAAACGCACACACATAGTGCTTGGAGCGCTTGCTTCTAGGAAGGAGAATATCAAGAAAGGGCTGCTTTCCATGTCTGGTTGGCTCAAGAGAAGACAGCAACATAGCAAACGGCACGTACGTGTGACTGGGTGTTCACTGGAAGGCAGAACTATCTGCCCCCAGTGACGGAGAACTGTCTACTCTACCCTTTGACCTCATATTGATCTTCTAATGGCAGAGGGATGTAAGACCAGATCAACTAATTTTGCATCACAAATGTCAAGGTGACTGGGTCCAACAGCCTGGTTACACTTGAATCGTTTTTTATTATTTTACTTTTGCAAGTAAGGACCCTCCAGTCTTTAATAACCCAATCACTTTGCACTGGCTTGCCCTTGCCTAACTCTATCTCGTGATAGACTATGGTCAGAAAACAACCCCCTCTGTCCAGCATCCAATAATCAAGGCAGTGCTTGGCTGCTTGACATGTGGGCTCAAGGAATAGCGCTGGGCCTTGGGACATGGTTCAGGGCGTCATGTGCTTGCCGTGGGAGCATGAGGAGGTCAGAGCCAAATGTGATGCCATGCCAGCACCATCAGCACTGTGCAGTACAGACAACAGACCTCCGGGATTTGATGGCAGCCGCCTTAACTGTGCCAGTAAGATCCTGGTTCAGTCGGAGAACCTATCTCAAAGTAAGATGGAGAAGTAATGAAAGACCCCCAACATTGCCTTCTGACATTCAACATGCGCCTGCTCTGTCAAATGCACCCACAGAGACACACACCGTCTATGAGAAAAAGCCTCCTTGTGTAGCCTAGGCTGGTCAGCTAGTCTCGAACTCATGGCACGCACACCTTGATAATGCTATAATTACAGCTATATGCCACCACTCTGTAATCTTTCCCATTTATCAGTAGCATCTTTCCCCACCAAGGCTGCAACAAATTTAGCCATAGCTGTCTGCTACATTCCCATGTGTAATAATAAACATCATCTACTGTGAGACTAAATCTCCTCACCAGATCATCCTTCTGTGTGGCACCTAGAAGGCACACATAGAGCCTTGTTGCCATAGTCAAAGCCAGCTCAGAGTAACTGTCAGAAGTCCAAGGAGAAGGACGCATTACCATTCTGCAGCTGTGGTTGATTTTTTTTAAAAAATGAGGCTAAGAAAACAGTGTACTTTCCTGGGAATGCCAAAACTGAGCATCTAAAACTATACTACACATGTTTAAGTGGGTTTAGATTACCTCAAATAATTAACTTCAAGAGATCCATTATTGACTTTTCTATCTGAGGAAGTGACAGTAATTTTTTTAAAGGAAACTATTTACCCTTACTGCTTTTAGTATGTCACTGAGGTTTTTTTTCAATATCAGCATCACTGGATTCAATAAAAGTCACTGCATCATGATACAGATGAAATGGAACCATCCAGAACAAATACAAGAAGTTCCCAAAACATGACAAAGAGACGCTGTCAAAATAATAGCTTTCCTTTGACTTAGAGATTAAGTGATGCACTTGGAGAATCTTACCAGAAAAAATCCAATAGCACACATTACATTTTACCACTTTCTCTAAACAGGAAAACATCGGTGTAGGAAAGTGATATGGCACTGAGAAATGGTTTGAGGGGGAAAAAACAATTCTCATATGAGAGAGGAAGGGAGCAGGTAATGAGGAATCCTGATTAAATCCAAAGCCATGAGAAGGCAGTAAGACTTGACACAGGCAGAGAAAATCAGGTCCAGATAGCCTGCTCCACACTGCACCTGTAACACCAGTAGAAAAACACAGATGTAATCATTGGCTTGTTATTCCAACTTCATTTCCTGAACAAATAATTGAGCACTCTCTTATCACACACTGGTTGCTTAATCAGAAACCTGCTTCCAAAACAACTAAGAAAAAAATGGAAGCCTCATCCTCACTCACAGATCCCATAGGGCTCATGCCACGTGTGGCTAAACTATGTGCAGGAGCTGAGGAGACAGCTTGGCCATGAAAGCACTTGCCGTTCATGCAGGAGGATCTGAGGTTGAGCCCCGGTACCCAGGGGGGAAAAAAGCCAGGAAAATGCCAGTAATCCCAGAGCTAAGGAAGTGGGGTGGACCCTGAGGGTTGTTGGCCTATTACATTTGGCTAGTTTGAGGACAGGAAAAATAGCCAAGGTTATTCTCTAGATCACACACACACACACACACAGAGAGAGAGAGAGAGAGAAAGAGAGAGAGAGAGAGCACAGACATGCATACAAATATGCATGCACACATACACACATAAAAGCTTCATGGTTGAAGTAGACTGCCCCCTTCCATGTTGCATGTCACGGAATCCATGTTCCTGTGGGTGATTTCTCACGTGTGTTAATGAAAGCTCTACACTGCAGGCTGGATACCTGATAGAAAGAGTGAGACTTGGGCCATTATAACCCTTACACGTTCTTGCAGAGCAATGCCACAGCCTATCTACTCTACAATGATGGTGCCCCTAAGTCTACGACTTACAGCAACAAGTATGGACATACCAAAGGTACGTCCATGGCTCTTGGCTTCTCTTTTCCATTGGGAACCAACATTTTCTTAAACCTTTCTTCTTTAATATCCTCATATTCCACATTAAAAAGACAGGTTTTGTTTCTTATGGCTTATTCTGACTTACTGAGATATGGTTTCTATATGACAGGTTACAAAATAATTATATGACTTTACATGCCAATGCCCTTTTCAGAAATTCCATTTTTTCATTTTTTAAATTTATCTATTATAATTTATTCACTTTTTATTCCAGATGTAGCTTCCTCATCCCCTCCCAATCCCTCCCTTGCTCCCTCATCTCCTCCCATGCCACTCGCCAAGTCCACTGATAGGGGAGGTCCTCCTTCCCTTCCCTCTGACCTTAGCCTATCAGGTCTCATCAGGACTGGCTGCACTGTTTTCTTCTGTGGCCTGGTAAGGCTGCCCCCCTCAGGGGGAGGTGATCAAAGAACGAGCCACTGAGTTCATGCCAGAGACAGTCCCTGTTCCCCTTCCTATAGAACCCACTTGGACACTGAATTGCCATGGACTATATCTGTGCAGAGGTTCTAGGTTATCTCCATGCATGGTCCTTGGTTGGAATACCAGTCTCAGAAAAGACCCCTGGGCTCAGATTTTTTGGTTTCCAATTTATTTTTTGATGTTTAAAAAAAAAATGTGCTTTAAAGCAAACACCCAAGTACTGATTGCTCAAATATCAGCTGTACACACACACACACACACACACACACACACAATCTATCTATCTATCTATCTATCTATCTATCTATCTATCTATCTATCTATCTATCTATCTATCTTTGTTTCTAGCTTTAAGGTTTTTATAGTAATTTAACATATACATTGTTATATATTGTTGCTTTGTACAGTAATTCTTATCATAGTTATCTTTGTTATTTTCTATTTATAAACTGTACGTAAGTATATGTGTTATAGAAAAATTTTAAATGTAGCTAAACAAAAAAAAAACTGCAATCCTGATACTCAGTAGATTATAAAACCATCATAATTACTATTTTTCAACTTAGTATATGACAAATAACTTCCATGGCAATTAGGGTCCTCCATAATGTTTCAAACCCCAGGATCTTCAAAGAAGCCACCAAGAACAGCAGGTGACTGCCAAGTACATATAGTGTCTAACAAAGACATCCACTACCCTGAAATGAGTGGATGAAATTTTTCAGAAGATACTGAAAAGTAGTATTTTAGAAAATATTTTGAAATGTAACGGTTGGCAGTGAATAAATTTAGGTTTATCAATACACGGCAAACCTAACATATTATCAAGGTGCACTTAGCACCATAAGGCAGCTAATTTGCAATATCTGATTAGGAATGGTCACAAACACCAATAATTCCAGCACTGCAGAGGCTGAGGCAGGGACACTGTCGTGAGTTTAAGGCCAGCCTGGGCTACACTATGAGGCTCTGTCTACTCCTGACACCCCCCCCAACATAGATCATTCATAAAGCCTGGCAAACTTTGTGAGCATTGGAATCTTTCGCTCTCGTTGCTGCCCTTGGGTAGCCTTGCTGGCATGGAACCCAGTGGCATTTAGAACATGCCAGAGTTTTCACCCTCAACTCCAAGTGGCCTCTGATCCTCCCCACTCCAACCTGTTAGTTGCAGCAAGGGTTTATGGAAATAAAAGAGAAGTTGGGGATCCATTTTGTCCACAGGTACCTAATACCCAGGAGGCTGTGATGCCACGGTCATGAGACCCAGCAGGCAACAGAATGGCCAACAGTCTCCACACAGTGTACTTTCTCACAGTGCACTCTGAAAAAGCAAGTCAACAGGCATTTGAATGATTTGCCAGAGTGTTCGTATGCAAACTAGAAAGTCTTGTTAACCCACCGTACATTCATAAACACCAAAAACATACTGGACTGAGGTCTTTCTGCCATGTCACAAGCTGATGACAATCTACTTTCTTTCTTTGTGGCTTTCATCTTAGTAGGCTCTCTGGATTTTTTAAAAAACACACTCAACAAGGATGCTTTTGGGTGTCCACCTGTTTTGTTTTGTTTTGTTTTCTTTGTCTCTTTTAAATCAGATCTATAGAAACTGGGTTACCCTTCTCCAATAAATGAACAGCTGTCTCTTAAAACAGAGCTGCCAGGTCCTCCTTTGTTTGATACTGTGTCCTTTAACTGGCTTTTAGCAGCCCTTTGAAAGTAACTCAGCTGCTCAGCAGTGAAGACTGTAGCTGAAGCCTGCCAGGTGACTACATGTTTAACAATCAAATTTCAATTTAGAGACTTTGCCAAGCTAGTTTCAACATGGAATCACTCTTACCTCTTCATGAAGGGTCGGCCATGGCTCCCCTTCTTCAGTAGGGGTTCGCCATGATGTGTAACTGAGTTGTTATTGAAGTCCTTGAAAAATGAGCACGATAATTATCTCAAGGGCCTAAGAATTACACATTAGCCTAGAGTGTAAGCAGGCTTCAGTAGCACAGCTTTGAACTGTATTTGAGAGGGAATCTGTTTTCTAATTTGTCCACATCAAATGTGTTTCTTTGGTAGGTGTACTGGTATGGAACAGACTGCAGGGGTTCTGGCTGATCCATTCTGTTCCTTGGTTTCCTCCAGTTCCAGAAGACGGCTATAGTTATCCAAGCTCAGGGAGACGAAACGCACAAAATGGCATCTGCATCACTTTCAAATACGGCCAATTCGAAGAAATAGGTAATGCTCTCCTACGTCACAGAGGCAGTGTGGGGAAGGCGGAAGCAGGAGCCACATAAATAAGTGTGCCACGCCACCCGTTAATTTAGCCACAGACGCACAGACACTCGGATGCCTCGATCCTCAGACTGTCTGTGCAGGTCCAGGTCTATAAATGGCATTGTTGAACTTGGCCAGGGGTAATAGTTTCGAATTAATTCAGGGGACAGATGAGTAACAATGAATGGATGGGGCAGGTGGATGGTCCATGAGTACCAGGAACAATGACAAACGTGGGTGTTGACTTTCCCTTGGCTGCCTTCAGAGGCCTCAGCACCACCTTAAATGCACAAAAATACAAGACTACTGATCAGAGGTCTCTGTTTCATGGGAAACTAGAAACCGTGTGTGTGTGTATGTGTGTGTGTGTGTGTGTGTGTGTGTGTGTGTGTGTGTGTGTGTGTAAGACACAACCCCTTATTTTGAAATATAAGTTCAGTGTTAGTTTTTTCAGACCAAACATTGCTTTCATACCATCAACATCATACCTCAGCACCATATAAATTTCTAATAGCCCTCACTCACACTCAAATAGCCCAAAACGCTTCTATTTGGCAAACTGTGGTGTAGAAGTAAGAAAAGAAATCGTGTGTTTGATCTCCAGGTATAGGAAGCTTAGAAAATGTTTCTCACCTAATTTTCACCTTAAGCCTTTGTAATTAGTCAGGGTTCTCTAGAGGAAAAAAACTGATTGTGTGTGTGTATGAGAGAGAGAGAGAGAGAGAAACAGAGAGAGACAGGGAGAGAGAGCTTTACTAGAGTGGCTTACAGCTAATCCAACGATGGCTGTCTACCAACGCAAAGTCTACAAAATGCAGTAGTTGTTCAAACCATGGCCCTAGCTATCTCAGCTGGTCTTCTACATATGCGTGAACCCCAAAGTAAGCTCTAATTTCAGTGGAGGATTGAACTTGACACTTAGAGTAAAGAAGGCAAGCAGGCAAAGAGGACTTCTTTCAAGTCCTTCATATAGGCGGCCCCCAGGAGGTGTGGCCAGATTGAAGGTAGATCGTCCCCTTCCGAAAGATCCAAATTAAAGGTGAGTGTCCCCATCTCAAATGGCTATGAAAGATTCCTCACAGGTGAACGCAACTGCTGGGGGTTTGGTTGATTCCAGATGTCCTCACATTGACAACCGAGAATAGCCATGACATCCCTCATTTAAGTAGCTGGGTTCTTCCTCTAATGCGAGCCTGAACGGTACAGAGGTGAGATGTACAATGAGTTGGTTATTCTTCTAGCTAAAAGATTTCTACAAGGAATTCTCTACTCTTATATATGTACATGTAGAAAAGAAAAACGCAGACCTCTGAGGCAGGGTTATCTAAGGATGAGTTTTCGTTGTAGCATCTACAAGCCTTGTAATCGTAGTATTGTGGCACAGAGTGTCAGTTAATTCATGTCAAAAATGAGGATGTTGGCAACAACAGAATTTACCTAATAATGTTATTGTGAGGATTTCATGGGGAAAACATAAAACTCAACCTTCAGAGAGGGAGGGCTTGGGTAAACTGCTTGCCAGGACCTGAGTTTGGATCCCCAGAATCCATGTAAAGCCAAACACAGGAGCAGTGTTTCCGTAACCCCAACACTCCTACCATAAGAAGGGAGGTGGAGACAGAAACTCATGGGCCACCAGCCTCGCGTGTGCAGCAGCAAACAGCAGAGAGACCACATCTTAAATTAGGTAGAAGACAAGGATGGACACCTGAAGTTGTCCTATACATGTGTCTGGCACATGCTCAGAGTCACACACATTTTGCATACCCATCATATATGCCTACATATACAAAAACTTTATCTACCCTCACCCCCAAAAAGACTAAAAAATACATAAAACCATAAAAAATACCTGGAAAGTAGGAATGTTCAACAGGCTTTAATTACTTTAAAGGCATTTCAAGGCTGTTACTTTAAAAAAAGGAGGCGGGCAGGCACAATTGGTGAGTCTTTTTTTTCTGTATTTTAATTCCACACACACACACACACACACACACAAAACCATAATATCAGTAAGCATTTTCATTTGTGTTTAAGTGCTCAGCTTTTCTTTATTGTCTCTTGATTTAGATTCTCAGCTCTTGGTCTCCCAACCGAACATCTACAGTTGTTTCATTCCCACCACCTTTCACTGGGAACTCATCTACATGCCCAAGCTGTGTGCCAAGTCCAGCTCCTCATCGATCCCTCGCCGGAGCCTCACCATACTTCAGTCAGTGCACGGTCATGATTTCCTCCATTTTGCAAAATCTGGTTCTTATACTGACGGTATGAAAAACTGTCGCCAAAGGGCATGTTCATTGGAATCATTGTGCGTTGCCTCGAGAAAACACTCTGCTTGCTTGGGATAGAGAAGTGGGAAAGAGGAGGAAGGAAATGGGAGAGAGGCTCTAGGCATCAACTCATGCATTTCCTTGCTCCTGTGACTGGCAGCAGTTGCTGATTCGACTACAGAAGCAGCTCATACACATCCAACTCAAGGCCCCTGGAAAGTCAGCTCCAGATCTTGCTGGGTGTGGAGCCACAGCTATTCCTGAAATCTGCTGAAGTGATTGTTCCCTTACACAATCCCATAGTGAGAACAAAGATTATAAAGGAACAATCAGTTCAGTATTGCACCCCCTCACTCTTAATCATCTTTATGCTTTTGTACCTGGCTTTGTACACATTCCAATCGCTACCACAAACCCTCTCTATAACCCATCCTGGCCTCAAAAATACCTTCATTTTTTTCTACTGGATCTGCTCTGCCTTTCAAGCGTCCCACTCTCAGGGGCTCTTTCATTGTAGCTCACAAGCTTATTTAAAAACCATCCCTAGAATCTAAACTGCCCATCTCTCTGATTTTTTTTCCACCCAAATATCTTTTGAAACAATCTCAGAGTTTTCATTGGCTCGATTCTCTTCACTGTGAGTCTTGCTTCCTGTCCATAAACAGTCTGTCCCAGCCATGAATGCTTGTCTTATAAACCTTGTGGTCTACCATGCTTTTTGCTTTCTTCCTTCTTTTACATAGTACAGAGAATTTACTGCATATCTACAGCTTATGCCAGATATTAGAGAGCCAGAAACTAACAGGACAGAAAAGGACATTGCAGGTTGTAACACTGACGAAAATATTCCCTTCCTAAAACGCTCTCTTTCACTGATGTTAGGAGGATAGCCTCTTGGTCTTCCTTCTGATTGAAGTCCCTTGTACCAGACCTTCTTCCGTAGGAGATGAGATTGCTACATGGTTTTCTGCCCCTCCTTATATCACTCTGTGTTTCATGTGCCCTCAGATGATTTCCAAGGCTGGATCTCCACCCAGACTTCTACACAAAGAGATGTACTCAGTGAATGGCCCTTTCCACGTGGAGAAAGGAGAGCCACACCAAATGCAATGTGCAATCTAATCCCCATCATCCCCACTTCCCCACTCTTTCCTTTTTTACAGTCTCCAAGACATTCCAGATTCCCTCTTTTCTATTCTTCCTCAAACCATCAAATGCATCCAGTTTCAGGTCCTTAATAACTTTCCCTTTGACCATAGTCTCTCCAACCCTATACTGCCACCATCGTCCACACCAGTGTTTTAACCACAGTTGCTATGAAAATCTGGTGTTTCCTACCTCGGCTGAAAACCACCCTTCCAAGTTCATGCTAGACAGTGTCTTTCAATTGACACTTATGGCCATATATTAATTTCCCTTCATTCTCAACTAACATTTTAAAAAAAAATTTCCTAACTGACTTCAAGAAAATCCAATCATAGTAGTATGGTTTTCAAACCTCCTTGAGATTGCCTCTAATTCTCCAGCCTTATTATTTCCACAAGTCTTTTCATAGCTAAAACATATATTGCTTTTTTGTATGTGGGAGAGAAGACATTTGCAGACTACAACAATATGAAAATAATAACTTTTGTTTGCACATTGCTTTAGGATTTAGAAAATGTTTTCCCATCTACTATGTGATAATGTGGTCATGCTGTTACTGATGCCAAATGCAAAGAGCAAGGCTGAATGAAAGTTTCTGCTCCCTGGGGACTTTTCAGGGATTATCTGGTTTACCTCATTCACTGTTTCTCTCCTCTTTGCCTCTAGACATCTTTACAGCCTGGATGGCTCAACAACTGAAGACGAATTTGCTAGTCCAAACCTGGCAGCGAAAGAGACAGGAGCTTCCTTCAAACTGTTCCCTCCCTTTCCATGTCCACAATGTCAAGATCATTCAGACAGCTTCCAAGTATTACTTCAGTTCTCACCTTGACCACTCCAAATGGTGTGTTTCTACAAAGGACTCCAAAAATCACTGGACCTGTATTGGAGACCTAAATCGGAGCCCATCCCAAGCCTCCAGAAGTGGAGGGTTCATCTGTACCAGGAATCCATATCTTTACCAATCATTTCACAAATTAGTTTTTGGCTATGAGTTCTGTAACTAAGCATGGAGAAAGGGTGCCTGCCCTGTCCTTGAAAACACTGGCTTTGGAACTCCTTGTCTTAGATCCACTTTCCATATGTTAAAGGCAACTGAGTTCGCACAACATATTGTCTAATAAAACACTGTGGGTCCACAGTTGCCATTTTATGTTTAAATCAGTAGAAATTTGCCTCCTTTGTATTCATGAATTAGAAGCTCAAGTGATGATATGTATATAATAATAATGAGGGGAGGAAAGAAAATATGCTCTTCCAGTTTAATCATCTTCAGTGTCTATCTTGTGGATTAAATTTCATCTCATTCACAAAGCCCCCGACTCTTCTGTTTGTGTGTGTGCTCGCTCTTCCTCCTTCTCTCTCCCTGTCTCCCTCCCTCCCCTTTCATACTATTTGGCCATATGGTCATATTACCTATTAAGCCCTTCCCACTGCTTTAGAGTTTAGTCTTGTCACCTTTGCAAATACTGTTTACTGCTAATATGTTCTTGACCTACTCACTTGAATTCTCTGTGTGTTTTTTTCTTCATTTTTTTATTTTAATCTATAATGGAGGGATTATATCTGCTCATGTACAGGCACCTACTACAGAGCTCGGCATGTAGCTAGCAACTGAAAGACTGGAGGAAGCCAAGCCTATAATCCCAGATATTCAGGATAGGAGACTGAGGCAGAAAGCTTGAGCACAGGTTCAAGGCAAGCTTAGACTGCGAATAAGTTCAAAGCTAGCCTGGGCAACCTAGTGAGAACTTAAGTGATAAAAGGTACAAACTCAGCTGCGGGTGCAGCTCAGTGGTAGAGCTTGGTACAGCACATGCAAGGCCCCGAGTTGTACTCCACTTTCCCTGAAATACAGCATAGAATGTAAAATACTGGAGCAATTTGAATTTGACCTCCAACCAATAAAAGATGACCCAAAGAAATCTCATGAATGAATTTTAGTGGGGGGCCGGAATTAGGTGAAGAAATAGAATGAAAACAAGATAAGCACAGACACATGAATTCAAAGGAAATAAATGTAAACCAAGAAGCAAACACCAAGTGTAGGAATCTTAGTTTCAATATTTCTTTTTCTGGACTTCTCACCATGAAATTCATGTTATCTGAAAGGATAATAAGAAAATCACAAGACTTAGCTGCTTAATAAACTGTGAAGTGTGGGCTTTAAGTTCAAAAGCTGAGAGTCAAGCCAAAGTCACCAAACACAGCTGCTACATCCCGAATTTACTGGCTGCATAGCATGCAGTCCACATTCACTACCCATTTTCTTATTTAATCTTAGAGCAATTCTCAGCAGTTTTTTTTCACTATCCCCATTTTACTGACAAGTCAACAGAGGCTTACAGAACTTCAAAAAACTTGCCTAGTATAATAGAGGTCTATTTGGCCTCTGAAGCTGTACCCTTCACTGAGATTCAAGAAGACAATAAAGGAAGTGAATAAATACAGGATTGTAATTGTCTTGGAACCAAAGTTTGTAGGACCTAATGGTCCATGACAGGTTGTGAAAAAGTTACTTGTTTTCTTGTCAAAAACAAGTACAAGAGACAAGTATTTTGGAGGCTGTCTACCAACGTGGGAATATGAAAAGGCCTGGGGAAACAATGTTTTGGTCTCACAGGAAACACCCAAGTATAGTCTCCATGAAATGGTATTGTTACTGGGAAATTTTAAAGTACAAGATGATGACTCACAGGTGGAGAGGGTCAAAACTTGATCCAGTTATACAGAGATGGATGAGTAAAATGAATAAAAAAACAATCAGGAAGGCTAAAATGAAGAAATCCTATACATTAGGTTATTGTCCCTCAAATGATAACCCCAGAAAGTCTAGAAAGTGATACATCCCACTCTCACAAAAATAAATAAATAAAAACACAAAGACAGGATAGAGTCAGATTACACAGAAACCAGAATATAGAAGCAAGAGAAGAAAGGAGGGTGCTGGCCCCTGCACACACACAGCTGAATGGTATAGTATTTCTTCTTCTTCTTCTTCTTCTTCTTCTTCTTCTTCTTCTTCTTCTTCTTCTTCTTCTTCTTC